CCAATCCAGGAAAACGACCAAGAAATCCGAATTCTGGAATCACGGTACTATTGCAAACACAATAATATACATATTCAACAAACCTCAACGGATTCTCCTCTGCAGATACCGTAGGGTTACAAAAATAAGGCGGTACAATTACCAGCCTGAGGATAAAGCGCAGATCACTACGCCTCAAAATCGATATCGTCACAACCAAACAGATATCGACGGCGAGCAACCGCAAAATCCCAATGTCCGACCAAAGTCCGTAAGAGTTATAAAAATAGTTCAGTAAAACAAGAAGGTTTCAGTTCATCTGGTCAAGGGGAATAAATATGGGGATTGGCTGTCACTTGGGGTTGAAAGAGGGAGCACACTCTTGGCAAGCTGTCTTCTACAGGCTGTCTGCCAGCTAGTTGTACGGACGAGGTGCTCAAAAACCCATATACGTCAAAGGTGGCGGTGTAAGTGGGAATACGCTTATGATGATTTTCGTAGCATTCTGAGTTAATAATACTTTTATTTATTTATTCCCACCTATTGGGTAGCACACCGTCGGGCGTGATCATAGTATTACGGTCAGAATAAGAGCATGACTGATAGGGGTTGTGATTAGTCAGAATTTCTCTGAAAAGAGACATTAATGAAGTAGACTTCATCACACCTGAGGTGACATAGTTAGGGATCCAAAATTACAGGGCTCTTTATCTCCTATTGAGAACATATCAGATGACACAAGATCTGATCGTTAGGATTTAAAAGTGGCGGGCAAAAACAATACGAGCGAGGGCATAACAATTAGCTTCCTGCCAGGAACGTGACGGAGGGCTTCAAACTGCAGGAAGTTTGGAGCCAGAATAATGGATCTGGAAAGCCGGCAGAACTGCTACGTTATGGCCAGACAATTTAAGCTAAAGCCCAAAACCGTCACTAGGGCTTCACGGCCTTGGGCTGTTGAGCGTACGGCGACGGGAAGCGTGGCTGCATTCTTGTAGAAACCGTGGAAGTCGTCTGCGTTTACTTAATAGCAAACTCAATACCGTAGTCAAATACGGAGTGAATCATAGACAAACCCTCGGAAGATCGTGGCGGTAGATATAAACCAATTGAGATTACAAATTTTCATAATATACAAAGCCTTCAATGAAATCCTCGGTGGTTACGAAGTGTATGAGGGTCGTTACTAAAAATTGGTGTAATCATGCGAAAACAGATTAGCAGGAAGTTAAGTGTGCAATAACTTCCTGTGAACGATAACTGGCTGAGTAATTCGGTAGTTATTGTTTGTTGATCACTTGGTTGTTGATCTGTTTGCAAAGCTTGGCCAATGAGTTGAAAGCGTTTCTTCATTATGTGGATAGACATCATCAGCGCAAAAGTCGGGTGTGTAACCCCTGTTTGCCTGAGTGCGTTTATACAGTATTTACTGTCCTCTCACGTTAATAGCTAGTTCAGCGAAAGCATTTAACCTCAATATATATATATATGTCCGTTCGTGATCTTAATTGCGTTGTAATCTGCGTTCTTTTTAGTCCTGTGAAGGTCTTGAAGATTCTTTAAGTTTGCACTGATTTCGTTAGCTAGTCGCTTGCTCTGGTAACGTTCTAAGCACCGCTACGTGAGTGGTGTCTGCTTTTTGATGTTGTTCGGCTTGTCCATGATCACTGCTAGGTTTACATTTTCCGTCGGTGGGACTACTATGTTTTCATCGTTGTTTACACTGTCCACTGCTTTTCCAATGAAGGAATGCACATTCAATGGCTTTTTGAGTGTGGTGGCCGAAAGAACGGACCGTCGAAGTTGTTATTGAGTAAGCGAAAGCATTAACCTCAATATATATATATATATGTCCGTTCGTGATCTTAATTGCGTTGTAATCTGCGTTCTTTTTAGTCCTGTGAAGGTCTTGAAGATTCTTTAAGTTTGCACTGATTTCGTTAGCTAGTCGCTTGCTCTGGTAACGTTCTAAGCACCGCTACGTGAGTGGTGTCTGCTTTTTGATGTTGTTCGGCTTGTCCATGATCACTGCTAGGTTTACATTTTCCGTCGGTGGGACTACTATGTTTTCATCGTTGTTTACACTGTCCACTGCTTTTCCAATGAAGGAATGCACATTCAATGGCTTTTTGAGTGTGGTGGCCGAAAGAACGGACCGTCGAAGTTGTTATTGAGTAGGTTATCGCTTTCGGTGTATTTTATTGCTGCTTTAAGGATGGTTAAATTCTCTAATTTTGTTTGTGGGTTGTTTTTATTCAGCTTTTGTGAGTTGCCTTTTGAACATATTCCTCATCCAGGCTTTACTGCTACTATCTTTGTACTCCTAGTTTCTAATCAACCTAAAAATTCCCCTTCCAAATGCGCTTTTTTATTTCAGCAGTGTACATAGCCCTTCATTCTTTCTGCATGCTCAGTTGCTCCATGCGGTCTGAGCCCATTACCTGTAAGCATGTTTCTTTGTCCATTCGCTATTCCCACGTATTTTCTAATGCGACAGTGACCATATGTAATTATGAGTCAGGCCACTCTCCGACGATTACCCCTCGATAATATCCAACTTTTTGGATAATTGGTTTGCTTGCGGTTGATAGTTTACGTTATGTAAGAGGCATTTCAGTGAGCATTCATCGAGGAGCTAATGAATATATATGGACATCCTTAAAGGCAATACAAGAGGAACTCATTGAGCAAATGGGCTATGTGTAGAATGAGGGGTTGCATCCTCTGGGAAAAACAAAAAACACATCTGAGAGAAAAATTTCCAGGCTGATTGGAAACCGGAAATGCTGAGACCGGATCAGGCCATCTTTTGACAATGTTTTTTATTGCATAGGCCCAATACAATAAATAATTTGCATACTGAATAACGTTACTTGTGTTTGTGATCGAAGCATCGTTTCTCGCATTTAAGCATTTGCTTGATGGTCTGGGATTCCTCGGGATCAAGTTAACTATTGTGGTTAGGCCACTTGGAAGCCTAGGCACTTGACTAGGTATTCTACACGATTCGCCCATTCTTTCCACGCAAAATAAAACCAGCCATGTGCGTGATCAAGCGGTCAGCGTCAGTCGCCGTAATTGGGACGGTGTGTGAAACTTTTGCGGTAGAGGTTAAAGTTTGTCACCGAAAATATTAGCTTTTTAGTTTCGTGCGCTGCTGTACGGCCTAAAATTCGCCTTTGTTGCCCGGTGCAGTGCACGAGCTTTCGAAATTTTAACTACAGGCGGCTTGTCAGGTTGCATGGGATTGTAAACAAGTGTGCATCCTCCACTCAAGATAGAGGCAATCGCAACAATCGCTTGCATAGTTTTGGAGACCACAACTAGTCTGCTTCATCAATGTTGGTGGATTGTTATACAGGTCAGGTCAACCAACAGAAATGGGGAATCAGCACGTGTCTTTGGAGAATACGCGGTAACAAACTAAACGTGGAATAACGGCTTCGGAATTTCACATAAAAATGAAAATCAAATGGTTGCAGTAATACTGATGTTTGGTTAGATTTTGATATCATGATTAGGGTCATGGTTGCATCAATTGAAAAATGGAGAACCCACTATTGCTTGCTCTTTGGAAAAATTAAACCTAAGCCGCGTATTCCAGGTGCTTCAGTGATACTTATTTAGATGGATCTTCTGCAATTGTTAGTCTTCCGTGAGTTAGAAAGCGTGCTTTATATCGGAAACAAACTGATCAGCTGAGATAGCAGTAATGTTTAAACTTGGCTCTCGAGCTGGACCTTGCACCCAGTTAGCATCAGTGCGGAAATTTCCCCAGCATACCTGCACCCGGTCGCAGAAACGTCTGCACCGTGGCCGCAGATTTCTGCGAAAACGAAACAAATTTCCATACCTAGTCCGCACACGGGTATGAAGGTTCCTGCACAATATCCGGACACTTCTGCATCCGGGAGCAGACTCTGTGCGAAAATAAAACTAGTTTCCGCAACCAACCCGCAACCGGGTGTGGAAACTGTGCACTAGAGCAAAACCACCTAGCTCGGTCGAGAGTTTACATTACGTATGGTATTGTTATTTTTTGTTACTGAAAGACAAATGAAGGGGCTTAGATACCTCCTAAACTTCTCGATCTCCCGCGACTTAAAGCCGAACATTAGTGCAGATATTTTGTACAGATTTCTCGAAGGTTCTACGTCCTGGAGCAGACGCATACTAACTAGGCATTTTAGTTTTTTCCGAAGATCAAACGCCCGGCGTATGCAAATTATGGTAAACGCCTCAAAAAGGCTAAGAAGATTCGTAGAGCACGCTTGTAGTAAGATATACGCAGAGGCATTTTTAGGAAACTTGGACGCCTTGCAGATGCACAAACAGCATTCAGCGAATACTGGGACCTGATGCGCGGTTAGACCTTAATGTTCAATTAGCCAGACCTCGGCTCAATGTGGACCATCCAGCGGCCCCAACTTCTGACTAACCGAAAGTGGGGTGGAAACTCCTGACAGTTTCAACGCTCAAGCAACTTCTGTGGGAAGGATTTGGGAGAGAATTCTGAATGACACCCTTACAGTTTCCCTCGCAAATGCTAATGATCGCGGAAATCGCTATTTACCGTGCTGTGTTCAGTTGTTGCGCTCTTAGCCTGAATAGCTTTACACCCGTAAAAATAAATATCAGCTGCGCTTTGCCGCGTTGCTCCGGTTTGGTTGAACCCCGGGGAACAAGGTTCTGACCATTTCAACCTGACGGACAATTACGACGTAGCTACTGACAGCAAATAATCCAGCATAACTTTGCCAGAAGACTGTCTCTATCCGCTTGGAGTAAGTTGAGGGGTTGCAGCGTTACGTTGAAGCTGAAGGGTACAATGGTTTCCTGTTGGTCTTGGCTTCAACAGTTGGGCCCTGTGAACCAAATACAGTTTAAGGCCCCTAGATTTCCTTAGGTACCATCTGCAAGGATCGACGCCTGGTTTGCCTGGCCAAAGTAATTATTCAAAAATCAAGGCCAGGAAGAATATAGAGCGCTTTGGCCTCATGCTCAATGCGCCTAGGTTTAAGGTTCGCCATGCGGCGGAAAAGAATTCGGGAGCCAAGCAAAGTTGTTGAGCTAGCCGCCTCATTATTCCTCATTTACCAGCAAGTACGCATCGCTTGCGGACCAGAGTCCATTACAACACCTGGCACAAAAGATGGTAAGTTTTCAAGTCACAGGAATGGGCGACACTTGCATCACTGAATACCTGCTGATGGCCGTCTCTGCCTGGCAGCATCTTTAATGCAGCCTCGCGGACGGGGGTGTTTGCTTATGAAACAGCTGAGTGTTCCTCTGACAGCATCAGGGACAAACCGTGCAGCTAAGCATTCGACATGGAATTAATCATGCAGATATAGAAAACATGGACAGCTGCTACAGCTGAAGCAGTTACTTTCAAAATATTCGAAGTTGTCCGGCCGCATTGTGTCTACCAGAAGTTTGTTAGCCAGAGATCCAAACTGACAAAACACCAGCGGTTAGCAGTGGCGCAGACCAGTAGCTAACTTCCATTCGCTTTGGAATCGTCGTGTGAATTCTGGCGCATACTCATCTTTAATTTTTAAAATCAATTGTAAGAACGGCTCCGAATAAAATGCAAGTTATCAGAAATGTCGAAAAACAAACTTGCGCAAGCACAATGATCAAAGTATAGCAACTCTGCAGCTGTTCCAAGAACCATCAACAACAATTCTTATGGCAACCTACAGCCATCAAATCGGGAACACCCGGAGCTTTCTGTGGGCACGTACATTTATGACAACGTATCTTCAGTTAGGAATCACCTGGCTTCCCTGCACATGAGCTGAGGCCATTAGCCGGACGTTTGCCGATCGATCTGCGTCATTTTAAGAAACAATTAAACTTTCCACACCGCTGGTTAGAAGCGTTACTTATGAACCTGTGGCTAGCCCAAAGGTGTTACAAGACTCTCGGCGTCACCGCTTCTGCGCCACCTCCATTCTGGTAATGATAATCGTAACTTCAATCCATGATCAGTGGATTACAAACCGTCATGCATGATAGTGATGGCAGTCAGCATAAAGGCCGAAATGACTTAGGTGTGAACGCTTAGGAGCAGCCCAGTCACATAAGTAGTGGGCATTATCAGACAGGGATATGGTTCTGTCATAATAAGCATGATCTAAATGCGGATGACATATGGGATAGAGAAACACAGTTGATTGGGTGTTTTCCATCTTGTGGAGAACATACTGGATTGAAGCTTTGCTCATCACAAGTATTCTGAAATTAATTTAGCCGAAACTTTGGGGTTATTGAAGCTGTCAGCTCAATAGGAAGCAAGTCTTATTCGACTGAACATTTCAACGTTGTGTTGTTATTAGCATTTTGTCTAGGTGAGTAAATTTTCAGGGTTGCTGATCACCGCCGATATGTATTTGATTACCAGTATAAGAGACAAGGATGGAAATCACACCTTAACATATTTTAACATTTCGCGATGTTGTCCAAATGTTAGATAACATCTGCAGACTATCCAAAGTAAGTGCTACCCAGGTGGATAGCTGAGCAACGCTTGTATGTCACATTCCCTAGACATAACAAATCGGACGAAAATGTTTACCAAACTTCGGCACAATGCTGCCCTTCGGGAGGCACGCCTTGCGTTACGTAATAACAGAAGACAACACAATACGCTATGCAACAGTGACGATAGTATGCACCTCGGTGGATAGTCCCCATTTTCAGATGTGTGCAACTAGTCAGCAGAACATGCGAAGTTTTCTAGATATTTGCATGTGAAATGCCCATTGAAATTAATTGCGCCCCTGCTTTATAATACGTTAGAAAGCGTAACGAAAACGTTGGAAAATAAGGCCAGTCATTGCTGCTCATTATAACCGTGCGTGTTGTAATTTACCATGACCGATTATTGTGGCTGCTAGGCACATACTGATTTGTGACGCGGGTTGTAGGACCTCAACCATGGATGACAACGAAATCCAACGGTTGACGCTGTCCATCCATACACAAGACTGTACGCATTGTTGTTTGCCCGTTTCAATCTCGTTTATGGCTCAGGTAAAATAGTTCTCACGTTCAACCGTTATGGAGGCAAACTTAGCCCAGGAAGAGTATTGTTTAGTCCAAATGGCATACAACGTCACAATGAAACACTAGCCGTCTTTGTCCACCAAGCTGCCTTTGGACCCTGGCTTGCAATCACCATTTCCGTTATTGAGCCCTGCCTGTACCGACTGGTCGGCCGTTTGTCCGGTACCAATCCCTTACCAACTTTTTCTACACCATATCCCCCCTCCTCTTCCTGATAAATGCATTGTGCCTCCCGGATGGAGCTCCGGCGCATCGGATCAAGTGGAAGTTTTGCAGCGGCGCTGATTAAGTCGTTCAACAGAGCGCTTGGACTCAACATGCTGCACCTACAAGACACCTCGCAGGCCTACTACCATCCCTCCTGGATTTGGTCATCACTAACGAAAGACACTTCGTTGGTCAAGTAACAATTAGCGCTCTGCTGGGACATAGCGACAACTGTGCGCTGACCCTTGATTTCGTCCGCTGTTGGGCCAGAAATCCTGAACTCCAAAAGTGGATTAGAAAATTATGCCCTGCAGCCTGCTCAGGAATGCGGATCTTTCTTGAACAAATTAAACTGGGACCGGCTTCAGTGGAAGACTTATATAGGACCATTGTCCGGCAATGCTCGGCAAGCATTTGAATGAGCCACAAGCTACCTAAAAGAATTCCGCATTTTAATAATAATAGAAATATTTATTCCCAACTAGTGGGTAGCATGCCGTCGGGCATGATCATAGTATTACGGTCAGAATAAAGGCATGACTGGTGGGGTTTGTGATTAATGGGAAAAGGGAAAGTGACGTAAACAGTAAACATTAATGAAGTAGAGTTCATCACACCTGAGGTGGCATGTGTAGGGATCCAAAATTACAAGGTCCCTCTATGTCCTATGGAGAACATATCAGATGACACGAGATCTGAACGTTGGAGTTTAAAAGGGGCGGGCAAAGAAAGCAATACAAGTGAGGGCAAAACAAAGAGCCTCCTGACTGGAACGTGACAAAAAAACTTCAACCTACAGGAAGAAAAAAGGTCCCGACTTTTTCGTAAAATCGGAACCGCTGTAAATCAGAAATCCGCCATTGGGATATACGGAAAGAAGCCACCATTCTATATCTCGCCCGGAAAAAAGAAATGTGTTTTTCAACAAAATGAGACATTGCCACGAAAGCAGGGTATACGCGTTCCCCTTGAAGGATAGGAACGGATAACCCACCAGCTACCGAACAGTGGTATCTGCAACTTATAGAGAATACAATGCAGATCTATATTCAGCCCCAGCATCCTCGCCACATCCACTCTTGTCAAGGCGTAACTACGAACAACCTCTAACCGACTTATTCTTCACGGCGGAGGACATTCGTCAACTCTCGCATAAGATCAATACACTCTGCGCGTCGATGCCCGACGAGGTCCATCCAAGGATCCATAAGGAAACGTCGTCTACACTGGCAATTCATTTATACCTAGTGTTTCGTCAGTCACTTGACGAAAGCCGCCTTTCCTCTGCTTGGAATGAAGCGATTGTCACGTCATTCTACACAACTGGTGACTGACCATTGCCCAGAAGCTACAGGCCTAAAAGCCTCATTAGCGTGCCGTGCAAGGTGACGTAACACAGTCCAAAGCAATCGCCTTACCTCCGACAACTTGATATCTCCGGCTTAACACGAGTTTCCCCCAAACCATTCTTGCCTGACGAACATGACTCTGTTTATGGACAGCTTAACCAGGGAGAAAGACGAGGGAATCATATCGGATGTCATATTTTCCGATTTCTCCAAAGCATTCGATCTGGCCCCATACGTCCTCCTGATCCAAAAAGCCGAGTCTTACGGGTTTAAAGGAAAATCCTACCCTGGATAAAGGCGTTCCTATGAGACAGATAATTTCGAGTGAAGATAGGTTTTACCTACTCTTCTCCAGCGCTGGCCTCCGCAGGAGTTCCTCAAGGCTCCGTTCTGGAACCACTGCTGTTTCTGATCTACGCAAACGACATTCCAGACGTTCTTGCAAGTCCATGTTACCCTTTTATGGATGACTTGAAATACTGGGGTTCCATGCTAGTGTCCTCCAAAGGGGGTATACGCTGCCAAGCAGCAGCAGCACCTTCCTCTGAGGGAGCAAAAGTACTCCCATACGTCCTTTGGAGGAGGCCCAATTATTGCCTTTGTCATGCATGGTGAGAAAGGACAAGAAGACATCATGATGATCGGTGCCAAAAAGGATTTGGGCATCTGGCTCTCCTCAAACTTGTCCTTCTCACTACACTATGAGAAAGCGGCCCAAAAGGCATACGTCGTTTACGGATGATTCGGCGCACCTTCTCCCGTATTTGTCGCATGATCTTTCAAATTCTCTATGGGGCCTACGTCAGATCTCTCAGGACGCACGAAGGACGCCACCCTCACTGTGCGTATCGGAGAGGTGCTACGAAAATGGTTCCAAGCCTCAAATTCTTGGACTACGAAGCGCGCCTCACGGTGCTTGACCTATTTCCCCTGAAGTAGCGCCACTTCCGAAGGACTTGACCATTACTTATGCCCTGGTTGAACAAAGCTTGGTCGACAGGTTTTTCGCCATCGACCCAGCAAACACACGGCGGGGAAATGGCAAGAAGACTTTAAAGCTCGGAGCGCAAATATTCATTAGGCGAAATTTTTTTCTAATTTCGGGCAGCAAATACATGGAATAACCTTCCCCTGGCGATTGCCCACACTCCTTTCGGAAGCAAATTGAAAGCACTATTGGATACTTATTTATCCGAGTCATCGCACTGGCAAGCAATGTAGCGGATTTGGCGTGTTGGATCAAATGAACGAGTAAAGTAACAAAATCGTAATAAGAAAAAAATAAGCAATCGATAAGGATTCACGAATGCGTAGATCTAATATTCAACTACACCGATTCCAATGCAGTAACCGACTGTAAAGGAAATGTCCACTTGTAGAAATTCTCCACAGAGGATTCACGTGTGAGTAGGATATTCCACGATAGGAAAGGTATTCACAGCTAAAAAGATGCCACAGGGAGTTATTGTGACGTTCAACAGTTCATAGAGATATAGTCCCACGGGTTCAGCAGTCAGTAAACAGTTCT